AATATGGGTCTTTTAATTTGTTTTCATATTGATATGTTGAGTAATTTGACTAAGGAAGAAATATATATATATATATATATTATATAATTAATTTTAATTATTTTATAAAAAAGATGCATACAAAAATATTTTATTGGTTATATAGCTAATACTTTTTTTTCAATATTAACATTAATAATATGTATACAAAATAATTTAACATAATAAAATTTCAAAATAAAAATAAATATATATCACCTTGGAAGATTTATAATGGTTATTAAATTAAAAATAGAAATTAATACAAATGTTAGGGTAATAGTTGAGTATTTAATACTATGTGATTACCAATTCCCAAAAAGTAAAATTTGATCTTAACTCAATCATGCAAGGATAATTTTATATATCTGAGATAATTCAATGATATTAGAATATTATAGAATTAAGTACAGCTGTAACAATAAAATAATTTTATTATAATATAATGATTAAAATTAATACTTGAGTTGTTACAATGTTATAAACATTTATTTTTAAATAATACTCATTGATAATAAAAAGTTTTACTTGAGTACTTGACTTGAGTTTTTAACTATAATTCATATTACTTCTATAAAATAATAGTTTAGCTAAATTAGTAAAAATAATACCAATAATAATGTAATTTATTATATTATCGTTATTTTTTTAATGAACAGATTACAATTATTTTATCATGAATTATTAGGTAATTCCTAAATAGTAAGATTAAAACAATGATAATGATATAAAATTTTTAAATATTTTGCTTCAGTTTTTATTGTTTTCATCAGTAGTCATGACAGTTACAAGTTCTGATACAACTTTTCCTAAATCATCTGGTATGATAATATGTATAAAATATTAATAAAACAGCTATAAATATTTAAAGTGAGTTATAATTGCCAACTATATATATTGATCAACAGACGTTTTTTGGTTTAAAAAGTTAGGTTTGTGTTAGATTCCCAATTAAACAAAATATATAAATGTATAAAAATATATAAAACATAATTAAATTTTAATATACAAACCTATTTTTTTCCATTTCCACGATTAGCTAAATAATATAAATTTTAAATGTAAGTAAGATCAAATAATTTAATATAAGTCATGAAAAGATTTTTAAAAGTATATACACAGTAATTGGTTTATCATAAACTACTCGATTTCTCTCAAAATAAATAGAGTATTGAAACATAAATTACTGTCTTAGGACAGTAGACAAAAGTGAAAATTTTTACAAATATTGATTATTGACTTAAATTAAACATAAATTGAATTGGTGAATTGGTTATGATGAATAAATATAATTAATTTTTTATAAAATCAGTTGTTTTTTTATTCATTTTTCATTTTTACATGTTATACTCTCTCGAAGTTCTTTAAGACTATAGTGAGACTAGCTATGTCAACTTTATTTTTTTAAATATCAACATACATATTTAATTAGCTTATGAAATAGGTAATAATCTAATTAAGATAATAACTGGTCAATATCAATTTTTGGAGGAGTGGGTATTGATATTTTTTTTATTAGTTATTTCCCAGCTGTACTCTTCGTCCTTCCTTAGTATAAAAATGAGAACAACTTCTAAAGTAGTGGTCCAAAAATTGTTACTGACCAGTAATTTTCTTAATTACATTATTTACTATTTTATAAGCTTGTTACATATGTATATTGCCATTAAAAAAAATAAAGTTGACACCCCTTTAAGTTTTAAGTGATGATTGTAAAAAGTAATTATTAGTTGGTAAATAAATAAATATACATAACTAACAAAAAAGCAAATTTTTTTTCAATATTGTATTTATTTTGAGAGTAATTGAGTGATTTATGATAAATCAATTACCTAACCATACCTTTTAATAATAAAGTGATTAATTAGTATACTTTCCATTAATAAACGCAAAAGATATATATTTTAATGTAATATATATTATATATAATTTATGTTATACTTGAGAGTTAAGTGTAAAATAGTTCTCATAAAAATTAGTCTAAGTTTAAATTCTAAGTAATATTCCTTTTTACACTTAACATAGGGTAAGTTACATAAATACTTTTAAAACCTACCAGCCATATGATGTAGATTACCAACTGAATGTTGGGTTGATGATATGGGTGGCGGAGGAGGTCTCTCTAAAGTATTCCGACCAGTGTTTCCTGTAAAAATACATTTTGTTGTTTTATTAAATAATGTAAAATTATGTAGCATTTAGTAATTGTAATTCAGTATACCTGGTGAGTCTTTGGAGTATTGATATGAAGAATCATTAACAAGTTGAGAAGCTGTAACGGATCTTGTTTGTAATGTAGCAGGCTAAAAATAGTAAAAATGTATTAATGTTTCACAATAGTGATTTTAAAATAATTAAATGCTATAATAATGATTAATGATTAATAATGATTATGTATTAAATTAAATATTTAACTATAAATATGTATGATAATTAATTATTTCTGTATTTAAATATACTTCTTCAAGCAACTGCCTAAGTCTTTGAAGTTGGGCTTCAAGTTGTCTATTATGGTCTTCTAATATCTGCATACGTGCTTCTAAACGACCTTTATGTTGACGTAACATTTTTGCTTCTGATACCATATCAATTTCACCATTTCTATTAGATGTTATTATATTGAGAGGTAGTTTATTACCAGAACCGGTTTTAAGTTTTTCATATTCTTCTTGTAGATGAGAATTCTCATTTTCTAGTTCTCTAATAAAACAAAAATTGAAAATTAAATAACAGAGTATTATAAACCATTTAAGAAACTTAGGAGTGGAGGATTAAGTATAACCACCAGGAAGCTTAGTAAGAAAGCTTTTGCCTAGACAGCAAGGTCTCTACCTGAGTTCAAACCGAGTCTATTGGCATAATTATTCCTAAGCTTTCATGTTTCCAACAGTAAAAAAATATTTTTATAATACTTTGAATTGATATAGATATTTACTTAATCATAGTTTCTAATTCTTGTTTTTGGTCTGCATCTATAGCAACCATAATCTGAACAGGACTTCTGGGAAGTGATGACAATGCTTCAGATCCAGTACCATTTAAAGAATGACAATATTGAGCTATTAATTGATGTTCATCTTCCCTATAAAATGATGATTATTAAAAAAAAAAATTAAAAAATTTTTTTCAATACTTACGAATCTGGTGTAGAATTACTTCGTGTTCTGTATTCAACTTCTGCTAAACGTGATGCATACATTTCTAAACGGTTGTGCACATCAGGTAGTGTGGAAGAAGTATTGGAATGTTGTGGTGAAGGAGAAGGACTTTCAAGAGCATCACCTTCTAATACTGATTGAACAGGTAAATAACCAACTCGAGGGTGTTTTTTGAAGTATCGTTTTGATTTAAATTTGTTACGCAAAGCACGAGTGAAGTCACGTACATCTTCGCCTGATGTAGTTGTTGAGCAGTACTCTTGCATAGGATGAGTTAACTTGTGATGTTTTGCTTTACAACCAGAAAAGAAACATGTCTGGCACATGTCAAAATTAAAACATTTGAGACAACGATATCTGAAACCTATGATTGGATAAGCTTTGCAAGTGTTACATTTAGCTTGATGTTTAGCTGACTCAGATTCTGCTAATCTGTGTAAAACAGCTAGCCAAACCATACTTTGTGGTTCTTGTTGTAACCAAACTAAGAAATGCATAGCCTAATTTGTAAACAAAAAATAATTTAAAAATGAATCTGTATATATATTAAATAAAAAAAATTTTTGAAACTTACTTCAATGACATTTTTATCTTTACCAGCTTTTTGAAAACAACTTCTCACTGATGGTTCAATATTTGAACCCCCAAAAGATGCAATTTCACCTAATTGTCTGGGCAATTGAATACAGTCATGTATCAAAAGACCTAATTTGCGTTGATCAACTTGTCTATTTGGATCAGCTATTAGCCTAAACAAGTATCGATATTTTTCTTCTAAATGTCCTTTACATAAAAGTACCAAACCAACTTTAAATGACAGTACACGAATTTGACCAGTTCTTTGGCTAAAAAATATTAACAATTGAAATTAAAAATAAAATGCTTAAATAAAAATACTTACCTATCATACACATTTAACAGCCAATTAAGAGATAGATCAAGACATAATGGAACATGAACTAAAGATGGATGCTGAGATGCTAGAGTATCAAAAATCGATCCTAAAATTGTAAGCATTTCAGAAACAGATATTAATTTATCATTTTGAGCACGTAGTCCATGATTATCAAAAGCTTCAACAGCAGCTTCCAGAGATAATAAATGTACTAAAACAGATTAATATTAATAATGTTGTTGTAAAATTATTAAAATATGCATTTATGCAAAAAAATTCAATGACAATAATTAAAAATCAAACACATCTTAATGGATTATTATCACATAATTTAAATAATAAACAATTATTTAATATTTTTATTATCGAAAATTCATGTGTTCTCCCATCCCAAAAATCAAGAAATTAACTAATTTTTTTTCACTAAAAATAATACAAAAAAAAAAAAACATTAAAAAAAAATGTTATTTTTACCCTTCCTAAAATATTCCCAAATTTGTGTCAAAACTAATTTTTGTTATAATCTCTTAGTTTAATAACTTTATTACAAAACATTACACATTACATTAGATAGTTAATATATAGTTATAGAATATGTTATTTCTTTAAAAACAAAAATACTTACAAGACATTTGTTTTTGAACTCTACGTAATTTCATAGCTGTTCTATAGGCTGAAAATCTTACATTGTTGAAGTCTGATAAAGAAGACATAAGATCAACCATTTTAGGATGATCCCAGTTGGTTGACTCACATTGATGGCTAGAGTAATTATATTAAGTTTTTTAACATTTCTAGCACTTTTAAGTTTATTATGTTTTATTCATTACTTTATGTAGTATGGCACTTTGTTAGAAGTAGTAGCTCTTTCCCAAGGAGGCTCCACAGAACCACTTAATAACAAAGAAGTAGATGGTTCACTATAACTTGCAGGTGATGTTCCATTGCTATTACTTGAACCAATTTTACCATTATCACGAATCTGTTTGTACTTATCATCCATGGAAAGCTGTAATGTTTTCCACCTATCAAGTAATAAAAAAGAATTTTAAATTACTAAAATAAACAAATGAAATACATATTATCTATAAAATATTGCATCTTTGGCTCACCTATTGTTAATTTCATGCAACAAATTTTTATTTGACATTGATATGGTAAAATTTTTTGATGACAGTAAACTAGCTTGATCATTTAAATCTTCTATTCGTTGTTGTATTGGATTTAATTTGTCTCCAAATTGCTAATAAAAATAATATTTAAAAATAAATATATGATTAAGGTGTACTTTCATTGAGGTTGAACTTAATAAACACTTTTATGTATTCGTATTAATGGAAGAAGTGGTTCCTGGATTAAAACACTTCAAAATAAAAAAATCCTAATTTTGATATAATTTAAAGGAAGTAAAAAAGTTTTTTCTTATGTAAACCCTTACAATTATACTATATTTTATTGTTAATAACACGACCCAAGTTAATTTTAAATTGTGAGCATATATAGTATAAATAATGTACTTTTAAACTTACTCTAAGTTCTTGCAGGCATCTTGTTGAATCACCATGATTTGAAATCGAACATGATTTATACATAGTCTCTAAACTGGCAAGCTTTGAAGAACTATCTTCTAAACTTTTTTGAAATACTTGCATTTTCTGTTAAGAAAAGAATAAAATGATCATAAAAGAACTTACAAACTACAAATTGGCTTGTTGTACAAAATTAAATATAAATCAATTATTGGCTATTCAAATTATTGGCTACT